GAAGTAAGCTGCCTGCTGCCTGCTACCTGCCACCTGCCACCTGCCACCTGCCACCTGCCACCTGCCACTGCTCCTACTACTACTACTACTACTACTACTACTACTACTACTACTACTACTACCGCTGCTGCTGCGTCTACTACTCGACGACAACTGCTGCTACTACTACTCCTGCTGCTGCTGCTGCCTGATGGCCTGGCCGGCAGGTGTTTCGGACACATCTGGACCTCAGACGCTGCGACAGCATTCATGTGTTCAGGTCTTCCCTAAACCCAAACCCTCGTTAGGATCTTAACCTGCAGAACGAGTCGTCGCTCAGTGTAGCATGATATAGATGAAGTAGCCATACAACCAATGTTCGTCGTAGTCGTTTCGAAGTCCAGCATGTGCCCTTGTTTTGTTAATGCTGTAAGGCACTGAGCTCAAATTTGCTGACATGATTTCCGTGTCCTTATTGGTCGGCTACAACTTTGTCCTGCATAAAAGGAGCACGAAATCAGAATTCCTGACGATGGTAAAGGCTCCTAGAGCATATCTTGACAGAATATGCGTTGCAATGTTCGCGACATCAGCGGCGCCATCATCAGCATAGTAGTCAGTCTTTCTACAACGATGCATACGCATCACTGAGCACCTAGCAACAGCAACTTCTCCTTCATCGTCATCATCAGCTCACCCAAGTCAGCAGTATCAGCACCTGAATCGACACACCGTCGACATGAATGCCAACCATCAGGCATAGTCATCGCCCTCATAATCCTCAGCCGCAACCAAGCATTGCTGGTCTCGATCATCATCATCATCATCATCAGCTGAATCAGCAGCAGCATTCTCAGCATCTCCATCATCACCATCAGTACCACCCTCATCAACATCATCATCATCATCTTATTCTTCTTCACCATCCTCATCGTCGTTCTCATCATGGCGTTTAGTTCGATATTTGCATTTGCTTGGGGTGCATGCTTTCCTTGCGAAGTCCCTTTTCAATGCATGAAGGTGGTTCTAGTCAGGGATACCTCTGTTTACAAGCCTGCCGCTGGAAAGCTGAACTTTAGCTTGCCTTGCCTTTGCTCCAAATTTGTATCTTTGGTAGGCACGGGGCACATAATGCGCGCTATCTGGGGTCTAGCAGCTAGCCTTCGAACTTCGCGAACTTGGGGTCTTGGGTTTACAGGTAGAGTGCAGGTTTGCTGTGTCGAACAGGCGGCCTTTTGTCAGACACCATGAATCTCGCAGCTATAGGGTTCTGCAGATCGTCAACAGGAAGGTCAACCTAAACCTGGGAACGGGGGAGCGTGCTCGATCTAATTTCCATCGTGGATACTTGTTTGAGGTCTCTCCCGTCACTGGCAACGCCTGGAGACATGAAGGACGGGCCTGACAGCTTGCATCAAGACTTTCGGCTTGTCATTCCACGGAGCCATGGACAGCAACACACTTAATCATACCGCCATCAGAATCAAGAAGTATCCCCTGCAACGTCAATAACTATTGTAAGCTTACCGCCTTTCATGACAGCACTTGCAACTTGTATGAATGCAGTGAGAACGGTTTTCTTCAAAGCCAGCATGATAGCAGACACATCAAGGATGAACGATACCCTACATGACCACCATCAGCTGCCGTATTCTCAGCATCTTCACTGATCACCACCATTACTAAACCACCATCACCAAGAAACACAACATCGTTACTGTCATCATCCTACCCTCAACACTTAGTGGCGACCGTCACCGTCGCCGCCCTGACCAACAGGGAACCACAGCAGCAGCAGCAGCAGCAGCCACAACAACAACAACAGCACCAGCAACAGGAACAGCAACGCCAGCAACCAGAGCAAACACAGCAGCAGCAGCAACAACAACAACACCAATAGCGACAGCAGCAGCAACAACAGCAACAACAACAACAACAACAGGCGCCACTACCACCGCCACCACCACCACGACAACGACAGCAGCAAAAGCAACAGCAACGGCGGAGCGGCGGAGGCAGCGACAACAGCAACAGCAACAACAGCAGCAGCAACGGCAACAGCAACAGAACCAACCACAACAACCAGCCAGCCAGCCATCCAACCAACCACCCAGCCAGCCAGCTAGCCAGCCAGCCAGC